GGTGCTGCCCAAGTGGATCGGGTAGTCAGGCAAGGGGCACCACTTAACAACCAACTACTGCCCATGCCAGTAATTTTTTTATGAAAGACGAATAGCTTTTGAACGGCAAGGCTTGACGCGCTGTCTTTGCACAGGTACAAATGATAGGGGGTAGTGTCGAAGGCAGCGCCCTCTCTCGGCAGCCGAGAAAGTCAACTTGGACTATTGTGTTCGAAGTCTCGGCCGTACTGCAACAAACCGTCGACTCTCTGTTTAGTTTGAAATTTACACCTTCTAAATCCTTAATCTGTGGAAGGCCTTTGATTGCGAGTGAATAGGGCCCCTCCCATATTATATGCATGTAAGATTTATCAGGCGTAGGTCATAGGGTTATGATCCCCTATCAAACTGCGAAAAAAACGGAGCTCTGTACGGCGAGGAGTGTACAGGGCTAAATGGGGCTGAGCGACAGAGGCTTAAAACGCAGGCTGAATAAAAGCACCCGAGGCGGAGATTGTGAATAGCGCTTTCGAGAACACCTTTATCCTAACTGGCAGGTGTGAGGTTTACACCGACGCTGTGAATACACCTTTTTCAAACTACTCGCTGAATATTTTAATGTGAATATTTTGAAAATTGTTGCAAATTTGAACTCGTTTTTTTACAAGAGGTATCGCCGTCGAAATCAGCCGTTTAGCACGAATTTCATTTACACATTCATAATCCCTCAGTGAGAAATGATTCATGATAACGGGTCGTGTGAATTATAATTAAAATCATCCGTTTTTGTAACCATAGTCAAATTTGTAATCTAACTTTTGCAAAAGCTTTTAAATTGATGCAAGAAATCAATTATTAATTTCATCTAACAAAGGAAAACTAGCACATGTTTTTCATATTTTTTTATAACGTATACTGTCGCACTTCGATGAACGAATTTGGGTTCCAAGTGTATCTTTCCTACATTGACTTCATATTGAATTTTATTCAATGGAGACAGAGGCACTTGTTAATATTAGTATGAATTTGATGCATTGACTAGTAAACACAAAAAGGACGGGTGTAATAGATCAAGTGGAAATACGTGAAAAATATCACAATGACGACATAACCCTCACCAATTACACTGGCGGCTATATATAATGATATAGCCTTTTATAACAATTCTTCTATCAAAGTTGGCTTACGAATAAATTCCCCCGAATATGATGTTGCCTAATATTATTTTTTTTAAATTGAGGCTCACTAAATATGCATGTCCTTCCTGTATATCTGATATTAACAAGAATAATCTGAAATGTGATCTTGTCAATTTCATTAGGATATCCCAGTGCTGTTTCACGTGTCAAACGTGTATGTATATTGCTCGTGACAGTGCTGAAAGTTGTGTAAACAATAAGCAGATATTGACAACCATGTATTATTCAATAATGGATTATATTACACATGCTTATTACCCAAACCGGTGGAGTAAGAATATAACATAAACTGATTGTCAACGAATCACCAATCGCCACTATTAGATTTCGTGTTGTCAATTTCAGTATCGCAGTGATCCCAATAAGATTGAAACATACAACAATCTCATTGGGGACGTGTTCATCGAGTAACATGTACAGCGATCCTAATAAATAACTCTCTCGGGACCTTGGTGAATATTCAGTTTCGAGGTCCCAGTAACAATTTCTAAATCTGATGGGAAGATGTTGATTTCGCAAACGCGTGGAGCACGGGATTTATGACTAAATTGGATCTTCGTAGCACGTGCCTAGAAATCAATGATATTTTATATCGAACTAATATGATTTACCATAAACAAATAACACCCTCACAGGAGGTTCTGTGCACTCTCGTACATCATTCGGCCATGACAATTTCTATTATTGGGATTCTGTACTGCGAGGGAAAATGCACTTGCTTGCCGTCCTTCGATAGTGATGTTTATTGCAGTGTTTAGGACCAGAGACCTTTGTGGACTTGTATCTCTTGACAATGAGAACAAAGCTGACACAATACTTGTGTGGCTCATCATGACACCAACAGGTTTTGAAATAACATTAATTGTTGATTCGACCATCAACAGATGATTCCCAATATTTATTAACTATTAACTTATATATGAAACAATAATAATGAATACCTAGCATGTGATTGAAATACGATATTCCAAACACCAACAATTGAAATTAATGCTCAGGTATTTTCCTTTATGAAGAAAATTCATAATTCCTTTTCTAAACTCTTTAATTCGATTGCAAATTGAGATGAACTAAATATGTCTATCCCGAACCCACAATAAAAAATGTTACCACTAAAACAGAATATTTAATAAAGTATATTTCAGCATGAAAAAAATATTAAACCACAGGGACCAAACACAACGCTCTAGTGTTAAATGTCTGTTCTTTGTAACCAAAATGTATAATACAACTCTCCATGAATAAGATACAAACATGACCGACGAAAAGCTTAATTTCACAGAAACCTTGGCGTCCACGCTATATTCATGATGTTCGTGACAAGAGAATATGTCAAGACTGGGATATATAGCTGTCACTCAGGTATTTTCGGTATGTCTATTCTTTGTTTTCAACGATAAAAGTTGACTTTTTGACAGGGAGTAAGAACAGTGTCACATATCACCGCTGCCGTGACTCCCTAATGTGAATCGAGGCAAACATATTTATTGCCCGTGTGTTTACCCAATCCGATGTGTCATCTAAAAGGAATTCAAGAATTATATATGTTATATTTTTTCTATATTACTTCAATTTCTATTTTGGAACAGCTTTTGTGATAAATGTATGTCACGAATAACGGCTTTGGAGAACGGAATTTGAAATTGACAAACAAAAACGAAACATAAGTAAAATATCGCAATAACATATAATTTTTTAAATTACAAACATCTATGTCAGCTTGTTTCATATGACTTTTTTAAAAGAAAAATCTTGATGTGTTAAAAATTTCCGTTATATATCATATGTTTTCTCTCTGAAAATAACACAAATGTACGAGCTTTTACGAAAAACAGATCTGGCACATATTATTATTTTTTGTCATTGTAACATATATGATAGTCATACAAACACGCATATTCAAACGGATGAATCAAATTTTCTTTCCTTAGACATCGCGCTTCAGACACAAGCAAGTCACAAGTAGCCTTGCTTTGCATGAGTGGGCCGTGAATTTCTAGCTGTTTTTCATCTTAGTCGTCCACTGTCGTTTCCCTCTAAATATGATTCAATTGAATATACAACAGGCCTCTTGCTAAGCGGAGATAGAAAACCGTTGAATGTGTCTTCACGCTTCGTGTGAAGTTAGAGTAAGGTCTTAAAACGTTTATTATTCGAACGATCCAGTCGTTTTCACGTTGCCGCTGAGCAACACAGAGAGCGTTTGATAGTTGACAGGATTATTTTGTAGTCTGTATTCTATGAATCTGGTTTATTCGTGAAATCTGTCTCACGATGTCTGTGATAGTGTGGGGTACATTCATAGCGCGCCCGCTTTTGAAACTGTGGGAATTGTTCAAACTAACAGCCAAAATAAACTCAAAGTTTATTTCCAAATAGAGAAAAAAATATTTCCAACTGAACATTTTTTACATTTATGGTATTCATATCGCTCATTTTGTGAACATCGATGCAAATAAATATTGACACATTTACTGAAATGTCTCATTGTAATGAAACACATGGATATTATAGAGCCAAGCGCTTCGTATAATAAATCACAACACAGATGCATATATTTCAATATCAATATTACTTCTAATAAATTAAATCTATACACGATAAAAGGTTCAAAATCATCTCTCGCGTTTAACAACCCTATTTCAAACAAAATATTATTTAAAGGTATACTGTTTTTAAATCCAGCAAGGTCATTTAATATGTTTTTCAAAATACACATTATTTGAATAATTTTAAAATTACTTTTTCAATTCGTTGTATGCGATGTTAAAGTGTCACACTCACCTGAAGACACCTGGTCGCTTACTAAACGGTTGTGTGGCCGTGTGATCAGACATACGTGACTGATTCACAAGGGTATGTTGATGCGAAAGAATTGTCTTCTCTATAACACCGTCCTGTATAGATATATACCATAAATCCCTTATCCCCATATATGAATGACACAACGCGAGAAGATTGTATCTAGATATACAACAAAATATCAAAATGAAACCCATTTATATCAATATAAAAAGAGACACAGTTTGATTAATATCGATTCTAGCAGGACTAGTTATCCATCAAAACATTCATTTATGCATACCAACATTCATTATAAGTTCAGTTCCAAATACGAAAATCATATTTCTATATTAAATTAAATTAATGCTTACCATGTTGGTACAAAATATTGACACTAAAACTTAAAACGTTACGTTAATCCATGCACTTTTTTAACAAAACACATGTTAATTGGTGCATGTATTGCACAAGGAATGAGAGATACAAGTTTCTAATTTAAGATAAAAATTTCCCATTTACGTGGAAAAGATTAAAATTACCGAACTTCGTTCCGACAAGAAAAATTCTGTTACCAATCATGAAGCGTTATCAGTAAACACGGTTATCAAATGAATTAACCACAGGCGGTCGGTGATCCCATCGTCGGCAAATACACATCCTATCGTGTTTCTCTCAGATCTAAAACACCTAATTTACCAAATACTCTGTCGAAGGCTTCCAGAAATGATTCTTTAAACAGTAGAACCGAGATCTTTTTCTTTGGCATTCATATCAAAGAAACAATCTTTGCTTGCTGTTCCCAGTATGCATGTTGTGCACTGGAACGGGTACGTCTTTGAGTATTCCTTCCTCAACATGAACGGCGACCGCTAAGAGAAATTCCACACTTCTACTTGTCGACATGGTGTCGGCAAAATCGTGACTTTGAAATTTGGCAGATACCCCTCAGGATGGTACATCCTGCGAAAGGATCGTGTCCCAAATATTTCGCTTCTTCATCGTGTTTCTCAAAAAGTTAAAAGTATCCTTTATCCACAGGTCACTGAGAAGGTATCCGGGATTCGTTAGATGACGTCATACGGAACACCGCGAACCATGTTATAAGGTGACCCTTGATGAAGTGTGTATCAAGCGGACTAGCTTTCACTGTTCCCCCGAAGCGAGTCTGACCGAAACTAAAGGCACAGCCGAATAACACAGCCAGGTAATAAGAATGCCTTTTCCTTCTAGTTTAAAGCGTAATACATTCTCTGAGTAATTACTGTCCCTTGTGTGACAACGGGCAATTTATTATATTAATTCATCATATATGCCTGCTTAAAGACAGATAGTAATAGATGGGGCCTTGGAAGACCTCCATTCTTCTCTGACATAAACAAAGCGTCTTTACTGGCCTAAACAATTAGACAGCATTACGGTTATTTAAACCTCCCCCTATTATTTGTCGATTTGGGAAATCGTACACTTCTGAGAAGGAACGTCCCGCAAGGCCAGTCAGGACTGTTTATCATTGCCTTCGTTTTAAGCCAGCTGGTTTTAAAGTAGCCATTGCTCGTAAAGGCCATGTCAATTATTTTGGCAATTTGGTAACTGGTCGCGGGCGATACATGTGGCTTGGAGTATCGTCATAATTTACGATGGCTAGCCAAGACAGTAATGATTCCCATAACACAAGCGATTTGCCCATTTCGACACACGAGAACGACATAAATTTCGGCATAGCCCTCGGTGTGTTTTATGCCCGTGTGTATAACGCCTCTCTCTCTCTGTACAGGCATTTAGTAGGACGCATGATGAATTATCAGTCTCGGGCCATATTATAGAATTGTATAGGTTTAACTCAGTCATTTTACTCGTTGGCTACCACCATTCGAACACCTAGATGAGCGTGCGCTATCATTTCGTTCCGACATACTCCGTCCCAACCTGCGTACTTTTTTTCTCGATGCCTGTTGCGTTTGCGAAAAGAGGTTACCCACAGGTCGCTCAACAATTGAATATCCGTCAAGATTTCTTGGATTCAGGTCAGACGAGGATATATTGTGCTTTAAAAGATTTTTGGCATCTGATGTCGGTGCAGGAGGGGTTATAATGTGTTCCAGTGAAAGCCAGGCGAGATCACGTATTAAGACACTGCCTGGCGCGTCGCTTCTTTTGGATACTTGCGATGCAACGCATGTGAAGAACTTGTTACAAGAAAAAATGGCTGTTAAACTAGCTTCTATTATATTTGCATGTTCCTGGATTCGTCATATTCAGGTAGGCAAATGTATATATATTAATTTAATTCGTGTATCAACCGGCACTCAAGTATTTCTTTAACTTGTTTGAAGATTTAATTATTGACTTAAAAAAACCCAAATATTTACTAAATCTCATTTTTTTCGTAATATTTCATGTTCATAGGATAAGCGCAGAAATAAGAACCGGAAACGAATAAATTATGGTAATGAAAACCAAATGTAACCAAATGATAAATACCATGTAACTATATATCAACAACGTGGTTGAAAGGTTATATACACTTTTCATTATTTAATTTTGTCCCACGAGCAGTTATATTTCTGTGTTTAATCGTTTCTAATTATGCAAATGTATTCGTGACATGCAACGCATCCATATCTTGTCATCACAGAAGGGTCTTGAAAAGGTCATGACAACTAAAATTATATCAGTCATATCGCCATCAGGTTCCATCCCATGTTCACCATCCCCCGTTCTGTTCCCTCACCCCCTTCACCTCAATACCCCATCCCCTCGCACCGTTCAACCCCTCCCCATATAGCTTCTCACACACGAGAAAAAGCAAGTCAAACTCGCAAAAGACAGACCATGTCAGAGGTCTGGATAACCCGAAGACGTAGGTTGATCCTCAGTTCTGGGGCGGCGCCAATTTGCAGGGATCTGCCGTTTTCGTTTCAGGACCAGGTTTACTTTTCATGCCATCGTTGACATCCCAGTCCGGTCGAGCCTGTTCACAATTTAGTAATTAGGTTACTACTGACCTCAACATGTAGTGTATCTGGTAATTATAGGACAGTTAAACTGGCATGCTTTGTGTGGGGGTGATACACATTGTTTGTAAGGGGGGTATGCGCTGTTTGTGATTATTTTATTTAATTCCATTAACCAATGATGGCGTTTGGTGATTGGCTAAAAGTGATTTCGTGACTGAGGCTGGTAAAGTGACTTAATGGATTTTTTTTCACAAACGTCCATGCCTAATTATATATACTACTCAAAAGAACTTAAATACCATCCGATTTTTTTAATGTCTATATATAGTTAATCTGTCAATGGTATAGCAACACACAGCCTTCCAATTGTGCGTGTCATCACTATTTAATCACTATCATCATCACTATTTGATCACTATTTTCATCACTATTTTCATCACTTTTTGATCACTATCTTCATCACTGTTTGGTAGTGATTCATAAACACATGCTCATGATATAGTCGGAATCGTACAATCGACTCAGAGATTTGGCAGATATTTCTTATGAACATGGAAAGTGTTTTGTCGCTTTAATTAACTTGTTTGAGTAGTATTCTTGGGTAGCAAGGACAAATCCAGAGAAATGAACAGCCTAACTGTTTACACAACCTGTTTCGTTGTACAAGTGTCTTCGTCTTTGGCAGCTATGTACGTTTGTGCAATAGTAACATAGATAATATAACAGTAAATATATAATAGTTAACAATGTACAATAGTTAAATAAAAAACACATTTTCCTTTTTATTGTGAATTCATAATTTTACATTTTACCCATTAAACTTTCTTATTATTTGATTTACGTGGAAGTGAGTGAGTTTGCTTTAAGACCATTTTCAACAGTTTTATAGTTATATCGCGACGTGTTAGTTTGATGTGGAAGGAAAGTCCTAAGTGATGCAAGTTTTAGAGGTTTACAGTTGGTGAAATTCACGAGCACAGGTATGGTATTAACAAACCTAGAAACATGATCAGGGCGAACCAGGGTTCGAACCCACGAATCTAGGTTTCTGGCACACTAAAGGGAGAGAACTGGGGCGTCTTAGACGACTGAAACCCCCGGGGTCTCATATGTGGAAGTCACTCGGGAACTTGAACTTGAAACAAATACTTGAGTGAGTGAGTTTGGTTTTACGTCGCTTTTAGCAATATTCCAACAATATCACCAGAAATGGGCTTCACACATTGTACCCATGTCGAGAATCGAACCCGGGTCTTCGGCGTGACGAGCGAACGCTTTAACCACCAGGCTACCCGACCGCCCCGAAACTACTACATGAATTATATATGAGACATATTGTCCTTATTTGAAATGTATCACGAAACTCATTATAAAACGTCATCGTCAGAGAATAATCAGTTTCGATTATCCACAGAAACGGATTCCAATGGGCGAATAAGGCAAAATAGCGGTGAGAATGATATGAATGGATCACTGAAAATCAGAGATGACACCAGGGCCTACTTGCACAAAGCGATCTTAGCGCTTCGACTATTGTAAGCCTATGTTAAAGTATGGGAGTTACGATCATCTTAGCGCTAAGATCGCATTGTGCAAGTGGGCCCAGGTGTTCGTGAAAAAGGTAAGCATGCATCTCTAGGCTTGTGAGCCTTTTGTATACGAAGAATGTCCCTTTACTGCTGGGTTCGTATTCTGAATCAGATGACTGTGTCCAGACTGTCCACGCTATGTCCAGTGTTAAATGTGTAAGCCTTCCAATACCCCCAGTAACCCAGATTATCAAGCTCGTGTTATTTGCAGACAAGAAGTGAATTTGAATAACATCGCTGTGAACAGTATTTCAGCCTTATCATGCCTGTCAACTTGATGTGGGACGAGAGCCCAAATTGATGCAGGTGTGGAAGTTTTACCACTTTGGTGAAACCCACGATTAACGTATGTGTGAAAGTTTTACCACTTTGGTGAAACCAACAATTAAACATATGGTGCTGACACACCAAGATCACAATCGAACTATTGGGTTTCGCGGGATCGAATCCACGATCACAGGATCCTGCCAGTTAAAGGGACGCAACTCTGATAGGAATTATGATAATTGGATACGGATACCCATCTGACATCTACACTCTAGTAAGGAAATCCTCACGAGGTCGAATAGCATGGGTGAAAACCAAATAATATTCAAAGGGTGATCGAGCATTTTTAAAAGGGAGGGGTCCAAAATATTGAAATCCTCCCTCAGTCAAGATTACTGCCTACAACATACTACAACATTTGGTTTTCAAAAAGGGGGTAGGGGGTCGGACACCCTGGACCCCTCTCTGGATCCGCCTAAGGTGTCGTACAATCTCCTATAAAATTCGATCAATCCATATTGGTCAAAAGAATGAACGTCACATGTAAATTGAATCGTATGTTTGGTACACCAAACATTAACGATGAGGACAAGTAATTAAAAATTACATTCATAAAAAATGGGACAGAGGATATCTGTTTTACGTCAGTGTCAAGCTCGGGGCGAGATTCCCTTTCCTTTGGTTTTTTTCTTTTTCTTATCCAATCAATCTGGGAGAAATTTCAAGGAAACACATATTTATCACTAGCTAAGATAACATACATCATCGTGTAATTACAGGAGCCTAGCTAGTCGATCTTCACGTGGACCACATCATGAGCTTCATCATTTTGTTACTGTTATTCATCTGTCAGTAAAAATTTAAGTATTAAACGATGTACATCTGAAGGCGACGACAGGGTAGTATTTACTGTGTAGATTTCTTTTGATGCTGATTTCACTGTTCTTCCTGTGCGTGACGTTCTATGTCCATTGCAGGTCCGCTGTTTTTAGCTTACCACTACAGTTAAGTGTCATAAAAAAACGAATATTTCACTATGGGACACTCAACGATTTTGCCTTTTCAATCTATGCTACTTTGTTTCTGTTGAGCTCCTTGTATCAATCACATGTCGGTGTAGATACTATTTGACCGACGCGTTTGGTTAGCCTTGTGGTTAAAGCGTTCGCTTGTCACGCCGAAGACCCAGGTTCAATTCCCATCATGGGAACAATGAGTGAGAAAGATAGAAACAGATAGTGAGTAAGAAAGATAGTAACGGAAAATATGTGAGAAAGATAGTAACAGATAATGAGTGAGAAAGATAGTAACAGATAGTGAGTGAGAAAGATAGAAACAGACAATGAGTGAGAAAGATAGTAACAGATAGACAGGCAGTGGGTGAGAAAGTT